TCTCTAAAAATCAATGGAAAAAAATCCTCAGGGGAGGATAAAAAAAAAAAAAAGAAATGTCATATCCTATGAAAGAGACATCTTGAAAATGCCTGAAGAAAGTTGTCATTTTTTCATGGTGAAGGGACTAGAGTCCATGTTGATGAAAACACCTTGGTGGCTGCAGCAGTTGGCAGTGGCAGCAGCAGTGGGGTGATGGGGGTGGCGCCTTCCCCTGATTAGCCCGGTTGCCTCCCGCAGAGGACATTCCCTGAAGGCTCCTGGACTGTGAGAGGGGGCAGGCTGAGCTAAGGGACGCCCCCCCAGTACACGAATTTCATGCACCGGGCCTCTAGTTTCATATAAATGGAATCATGTGCCCTAGCCAATTTTGCTCAGTGGCTAGAGCATAGGCCTATGGACTGAAGGGTCCCAGGTTCAATTCTGGTCAAGGGCACATGCCCAGGTTGCGGGCTCGATCTCCAGTAGGAGTGTACAGGAAGCAGCCAATCAATGATTCTCATCATTGATGTTTCTAGCTCTCTGTCCCTCTCTCTCCCTCTCTGAAATCAGTAAAAATATATTTTAAAAAATAAAAAATAAGTAAATGGAATCATGTGACCAGCACCTTGTGTTTAGTGTGTTTGCACGAGGTAGCATGTATGGTACTTCACTCCTTTTTATGGCTGAATAATATTCCACTGTAGAGATAGACTATATTCTGTTTATCTACTCATCAGTTGATAGCTACTTGGGTGGTTTCCACAATTTGGCAATTCTGAATAATGCTGCTGTGAACATGTACATCCAAGTTTTTGTATGTATATATATTTTTTCCTCTTGGGTAGATACCTAGAAGTAAAGGTGCTGGGTAATATGGTAATTCTATGTTTAATTTTTTTTTTTCAATCCTCACTCAAGGATATTTTTCCATTGATTTTTAGAGAGAATGGAATAGAGTGGGAAACAGAGAGAAATATAAATGTGAAAGAAACACATCAATTGGTTACCTCCTGCATATACCCTGACCACAGCCCAGGCTGGGGAGAAGCCTGCAACTGAGGTACGTGCCCTTGACCAGAATCAAACCCCTTCTGTCTGCAGGCTGACGCTCTATCCACAGAGCCAAACCGGCTAGAGCTATGTCTAATTTTTTGTAAAAACTGCTAAACTGTTTTCTAAGGGGCTTCACCATTGTACATTCCACCAGCAGTGTCTGACAGTCTCCTTTTTTCCAAATCCTTGCCAACACTTGTTTTTGTCTGTCATTGTGATTACAATCATTCTAATGGATAGGAAGTGAAATGCTAATTATTTCTTGAAGAAGCCAACCATGTATCCCATAGAATCCCCAGTCTGGATTTTGCTCATCCCCATTGTATCATAAAATATCCTGTATCCCCTGAATTTCCTGTTAATTAGTATTCAGTTGAATGGTATCAAATTGCCAATATCCAACATTTTTAATCTGAGCAGATCTTAGTGCACCTCCCTTAGGGACAACAGAAGGAATCGGTCTGCTATTCTATCTGATACCAGTAAGAAAGAAAAAGTTGTTAACTGGTGATGTCACAGGGGATCCTTTCTGAGGTTTTCCAAAACAATAACATGTATACATGGGGAAACTTTTTAAATAGAATAGAACAAAGGTATACACAGAGAAAAGGCAGTCTCCCCAGGAATTCTTGTACATCATGGTGGGAGTGTGGACTGACGAAGCAATCTGTGATACTTGGTGAAATTGGTAGCTGTGACCTATAACCAGGCAATCTCTCTCCTGGGGATATATCTATGGCAGACTCTATTCCATTCAAACTATTCACTTCCCTCCCTCACAAGAGAATTTACTTACTGCCCCATAGATACCAAGCTTAGCCATGTGACTTCCTTCACTCAATAAAATGTGAGAAGTGTTAGGAGCCTCAGCACATGGTCTACTATTTCCTTTCCCATAGTGCCCAGAAATGTGTCAGATAGAGGCTGCCTCAGCCCCAGAGTGAAAACAAAGTGGAGCAGCCTCAACACCAGATACAAAACACAAAGTCTGATGCATCAAAGCTGATCAAAGTAAGAGTCAGAAGTCTCTGGAGAAGTGGAAAGAAAAAAACTCAATGATATAAATAACCATTATGTACTTCCAGCTGTAAAATTCTCCCAGCCACCCCTTCCAGGTTGAACTCCGAAGTGTCAGGCAGAGATTGGTTGGGCACCATCAAGTAAATACAAAAATATCCAGGCTCTGTCTCCAGGCGCTGATGGAGAAGGAGCAGGTCAGGCCTAGAAACAAAATCAGTATGAGGCATTAGAAAGACTGTCCTGCTCCTCTCCCTCTCCCCAGTGAGGGGAAATCAGTTCCAGCCACTCCTTCCAGGTTGAACTCCGAAGTGTCAGGCAGAGATTGGTTGGGCACCATCAAGTAAATACAAAAATATCCAGGCTCTGTCTCCAGGCGCTGATGGAGAAGGAGCAGGTCAGGCCTAGAAACAAAATCAGTATGAGGCATTAGAAAGACTGTCCTGCTCCTCTCCCTCTCCCCAGTGAGGGGAAATCAGTGGAGAAGTCTGCCTGAGGCCCCCACTGTGACCTCTTCAAGCCCACAGACCTTCCAAAGAGAAGGGAGCAAGCAGCTCAAAAGGGCAGCACGAACTAAACTGAGTCAGAACTGAAAAGTGGGTTACGGACCTTCCAAAGACTCTCTCCTTATTTACAGACAGGGTAAAGGAGAGCTACAGGCAAAGTGTGGGCTGCCCCCACCCAGCCTGTGCAATGTTTGCAAAGGGAGTAAAGGGGGTAGCTACCTCCCCAGCACAGACCGAAGGAGCAGATAAGACGTAAATCTCACTAGAGTCTCCATCTTCGTGGTGATTCCAATCTACTGACGGGCTGCCAGGAAAACAAAACAAAACAAACAGAAAAAAAACATAAACAAAAACAAACAAAAAAAGACCTAGGCTCTTTAAATTCTCACATCTTGTTTTCCTCACCCACCACGGAGGGGAACCCAAAGCCAACTAGGGGAACTGTGAGCGGACCCAATCAGACAAGGGCTGGAGCCGGGAAGGCCCATCAAGGAATCAAGCCAATTGTACAATGGAGATGGACGCCGGCTGCCCAGAGGAACACGGCATCCCGTTGTGGCCCAGCCGCTCACCTCGGGTCATCCCCGGGCCTCTCCTGCGTCCTCAGGTTGTTGAGTGCATCTGGGAGCGCAAAGACGGATGGATCCGGGGTACCCGCCAGCAAGCGGGACCCAGTACCGCGGCCAGGGCCACAGCGTCGCACATGGACCAGCAAGAGCGCAGCGCCGGCCAAACCTGCAGCCACCAGCAGCCCCAAGGCCGGCAGCAG